ACTCCAATTTGGTGCATGAACAAAAAGAACGAAATACACCGTCTGGGCATTTGGACGATTTAGCTATCAACCTAACAAAAATTTACATTCAGGATCATTAGTTTAAAAAATTATACATTGGGATCAAACTTGTGGGATCATTATTTGGGATCATAACAAATTTTACACTGGGATCAGTATTTTGGGATCTCAAAAATTTACGTTGGGATCTCAATACCCAATGATCCCTGTAGGGATCACCCCCCCTGATCCCAGTGTAAATTAGCTATACTACTGACGCTATTCTAATTTTTAAGAAAACAAATTGAATTTATTCTGTAAGCAAGTATTGCCCTAGGAAAACCAAGAAAAGAACAATTATGTGGATAAAAAATTGTCATTGAGTTAAAAATGAATTTTTTCAAACATGAAATGGACAAAATTAATCAAAACGTCTCAGAAATGAGGTATCAAACAAATAACGTTGAATTATAAAAGGTTTTGTAGATCATGGAAAGAATAAAAAATTGCAGAAACGAAAGAGCGCAGAAAAAATTTGACCGGAAAAAAAACTGGCAAAATGAGTTTCAATGTTTTTATTAAGTTTTGTAAATTTGAACACTTAACAAAAAGAGAACTCTTTGTGCAGACCTTCAATAGTTTTTCTCTAACCTCGGAGAATATAATGGGCGACAAATTTGTTCCCGTGAACTTACAGATGGAGCAAAAACGGAATAGTTGTGTGTAAAGGAAGCAGCTATTTTGAAAATTTTTTTTCTACGAAGTTAAAGTGGTTTTCCTCATGATGGCAGTAGTATTAAATTATTTTGAAATTTGTTGACTATAGTGTAACAGATTCTTTTTGAAATCTGTAGGAAAAGCTCAAGTCAAAGCCATTTTTTCCAATAGCCCTGATGTGGCAAAAATCAAGGCGTCAAATTAATGTTGTGAATTTTCTAATGCCAATTTTCTTATATGTCGATTAACCTACTCAGCTCTAATTTGATTTTTTTCAACAACATTTAGTGCAAATGACTAATGACGTTCAATTTTAAAAAATGACCTTTTCGAAAAACGACCAATTTGGGTTCCCTACATGAAGACAAGGCTCGCATGCTTTGACTCGTTTAACAGAGTTCATTAGAAACTCATTTGATAAAAAAAATTCGGAAACGCCTCTTTTCTCGATCTTTTTAAAATATTTGACCAAAATGATTACAAGGTGTTTTTTTTCAATTATTACACTGCTGTAGATCTAGAAAAGTCGAAACGAAATTTTCTTGAAAACTATTCAAATGATCCAATTTAAATGTTTGAGCATTGCAGTAAAAACTCATCTGTTCAATTAATGAGATTTGTTGTACCCCAAGGCTCCAACTTGGGACTATTGTTTATTCAGTTACAAGCATTCATATGCCTGAATATCTGCAATAGTTAATTTTTTTTTCTTTTCATTTGTGTCACCGCAAAAAATTTGTTGTCATAATTGTAAATTTGAGCTTAAGAAGAATATGAAAGATTGCACTTATTATTTTGAAAAAAAAATTGCTGGCCAACAAAAAACATAGATGTGCATTTGTTAATGTTGATAAAAAATCAATTGAAAAAAATGAACCAAAAACATCATTTTACAAAAAAAAAGTTCAGTTAAATTTTTGTGTTTTTAACAGAAAAACAAAACTGGCAAAAATTTCTTCGATGTTTGTTTTAAGTTTTGTAAAATTGAACATTTAACAAAAAAAATGTTTGCGCAGACCTTCAGTAGTTTTTTCTCTAACACGGGAGAAACTTTGAACAACAATTTTGTTCCCATGAACTTTCATATGGAGGAAAAATGGAATAGTTGTGCAGCAATTTTAAGATAAACTTTTAGAAAGTAAAAGTGGTTTTCCTCATGATGGCAGTACTAACACTATACTTTGAAATTTGTTAACTGCAGTATGTCAGATTTTTTTTGAAATCTTTAAAAAATGCTCAACTCAAGGCCACTTTTTCCAATAGCCCTGATGTGGCAAAAATCATGACGTCGAATGAATGTTGTGAATTTTCTGATGCCAATTTTCTTATATGACGATTAACCTACTCAGCTCTATTTTGAATTTATTTCATCAACATTTAGTGCAAATGGCTAATGATGTTCATTTTAAAACAAATGACTATTTCGAAAACGACCAATTTGGGTTCCATAGCTAAAGACAAAGCTCTCATACTTTGCTTGGTTTAACAGAGTTCATGAGAAACTACATTGGAAAAAAAAACTTTTCATCGTAAACGCCTGTTTCCTTAATCTTTATAAAATACTTGACACAAATGATTACAAGGTTCTATTAATTATTACACTGCTATAGATCTCGACAAAGTCGTAACGAAATTCTTGAAAGCTATTCAAATGATCCAATTTGGTGCTAGGGCTTTTAGCAGACCGGTTTTTTAGCAGACTCAGAACAATTATAAAGTGTGATAACTAACTTCAAACGCGGCATTGGCGATTAGCGACCGCTTGCTCCGCTGCGCTTCAATTCAACACGAGTGTTGTTGTGCGCGTAAACCTTTGTTTTGCCGCTAATTTAGACTGTTGTGTTTCTGAAGTGGATAATTTTGTTTACAAATTGCGAGCTAATTGTCTAAATTGGGGAAGCTTGGCTTCAGACTGAGCGTATTTTTGAGTCTGTCAATCAACCATTCATCACTTTATTACGTTGGTCTGCTAACAGACTCATTTTTCACTTTTTATGCTTAGAGATTGGTCTGCTAAACGATCGGTCCCCATCCAATTTAATTGTTTGAGCATTGCAGTAAAATTTCATCTGTTCAACCAATCGGATTTATTGTACCTCAAGGCCCCAATTTGCAACTATTGTTCATTCAATTATATAACAATCATATGCCTGAATATCTGCAATAGTTAAATTCTTTTCTTTTCACTTGTGTCACATCAAAAAAGTTGTTGTCATAATTGTAAATTTGAGCCTAAGAAAGATATGAAAAATTGCACTTATTGGTTTGAAAAAAATTGCTGGCCCACAAAAAAGATAGATGTGCATCTGTTAATGTTGACAAAAAATCAAATTAAAAAAATGAATCAAAAACATCGATTTACAAAAAAAAGTTCAGTCAAATACGTCGTCCGCTTGGTAAACAGTCAATTTGATTTTATTTCATTTAAGACGAGGAAGCTGTTTCCTAAAATCCAACTCTTCCTGTTTTCAAAATCTTATGCTGAATCAACTATACAGAAGGTCTAATTGTGCTCGCCAAAACCTAAAAACTTAACTTACATAAAGTTTTAAGACCTCATTTTTTATTAGTTATTTACTTAATAAAAATTAAAACCTTTAACAGTATCAGCCAAACAAACCATTTTGCAACTGTTCACAAACGGTAGAAGTAGCAGCAGAACTGTTGTTTTTTCTAATTTCTATGAGTTATCAGAAATTTCCAACCGGCGTTCTAACCAAAAATACGCTAAAAATTTTTACTATAAGAAAAAAAATAAAGAAAGCTGCCAAATGAATAAGAAATAGGCTAAGGCTTCTCGCAACTGATCAAACGATAAAAAAATTTTGAAGTTGTAATAATTTTTATGTTAATTCATATTTTCATATCTAAGGCAAAAGTATAAATAATAAATTTGTTGTTCTAAAAATTTTTCACCCAAAATTAAACTTTAATCTTTTTTTAAAAACCTTTTTTTCAGCGTTACCACACAATGAGCCGAAATACTCTTTGATAACCCCTCCAGACATTCTTTAAACATTATCAACAATTGTTTGCAATATGAAGCTGTTGAACTTAACAATTAAAAAATTGAATTCGCCGTTGTAAGAACGGCAGCCTCTTTATTTGATTTCTCTTGTTAGTCAAAAATAAATGCAAGACAAGACTAATTGTATCAGCCTTTTAAGGTTTTATGGAGCAGTAAAAACATTTAAAAATTAAATGTAAAAAAAGAAAATTAATTTTTTTTTTAATTTGAAATTTTTCATGAAAACCATCCCCCACACGCCATATAAAGTACAAAAAAATAGATTTCGCTCATTGTAACAAATCAATTATGGCAATAAGCTTCTTTCAACCACCAACTTGGAACGATTTCTAAGACGGATTAAATCTCCGCTCACGCGTTAATAGCACGAAATATATCGCGCGTTAATTGTCCCAAATTGGCCAAAATGGCAATCCTTAAACCCCATAACTTTGCGAAAAATGATCACAGGTGAAATATATTTTCAAATTTAAGCTCTGGACAAAAATACCTTTCGAATGATATAAAAAAATCCTGTCAAAAATGGCTAGTTAAAAACTCGAAATTTGTCTAAAGAAAAAAAAACCTACCCCGAGCACAAATATTCCGTTACTTTCGTATCGAAAGACGGAACAAAAAGTGTAAGTTTTCTTCAATGTGGAAAAATGCACTGGAAAAAAGCCCTGGCTCTTTTGCAGCTTAATTTTTGTTTTGACTTTCGATACGAAAGTAACGGAATATTTGTGCTCGGGGTGGGTTTTTTTTTTCTTCAGACAAATTTCGACTTTTTAACTAGCCATTTTTGACGGAATTTTTTTTATCATTCAAAAGTTGTTTTTTGTTGTCCTGAGCTCAAATTTGAAAAAATATTTTACCTGTGATCATTTTTCATAAAGTTAGGGGGGTTTAAAGATTGCCATTTTGGCCAATTTGGGACAATTAACGCGCGATATATTTCGCGCTATTAACGCGTAAGCGGAGTGCGAATCCAATTAAAATTGTTCCAAATTGGTTGAAAGAAGCTTATTTGCCATAATTGATTTATTACAAGGAGCAAAATCTATCCTTTTGTGCTTTTTATGGCGTGTCGGGGCATGATTTTTATTTTAAAAAATTTCAATTTTTAGAAAAAAAATTTCGTTTCATTTTTTTTGTACATTTTATTTTTTTAATGTTATTACTGCTTCATAAAACCTTCAAAGCCAATCTGAACATTTAGGGCTTTGCCCTGATACGAGCAGTCTTGTTTGTTTGAAATTCAATAAAAAAAGTCCACTCAAAAAGATTTTCAAGTTATAAACTGCTTAAAACGCGTCAGTGTGCACAGGTGAACAAGTTTCTACAATAAAACTTACATGCAAAATGTCAAGTGAACAAATTTGGAACAGCTTTATTTTGTAGTTTTTGATGGGTTGGGAAACTGGGAAAGAGCCAAATAGGTTGTTTGGAGGTTTTTCTCTAGGTTGAATTATGTTATCTGAGGCTCAAATTTATGGACACACTCCGTCTAATTCCGACAGAGTTGATGACTCATTGTGACATCTGCAGCCCATGTTCTGTGCTCTTTTGAAGTACTTGCAACCAGCAGCATCCGTGACCCACGACAGCGTGTCGTCTACTCCCGCCAGACATTCTCTGGTATCAAGGAATCTTTTCAGGCGAATCATTTTTTACAGCCAATTATTAAATATTTAATTTTGCCCGAAGTATTAATCATTTTGAGGGAGTTTTTTTATGAAAATGATTTTCCAAAAGATGCAATGTATCAATTTGATTGAATTAACGGGGGCGTTCAACAGTGCCGAAGTACAACAGTGCCGAAAAAGGCGTGAAAATTTCAGAATATTTTAAACGCATTTTCAAAAGAGCGGCAATTTACTAACGCTAATTAACAAAAAAATTCACTCCAATTTTGGTGCCAAAATGTCTGCAACTGCAAATTGAACAATTATTTTGGCGCCAAAACGTCTAAGTGGTAAATTTTCTCGCTCAAGTTCTCAAAGTATCACTTAAGTTTGTAAACGATCGCCGTTTAATTTTTGATTGCCGCACCTAATACGTTGAAATTTGTTGAAATTTTTGGCCCTGTTGAACAAATTTTTCATTTTCGGCACTGTTGAACTAATTTTTTTTCGGCCATGTTGTACTTCGGCCTTGTTGTACTGCCCCGAATTAACTCACAAAATGGTCTCAACTTCAAAACTTTGAATCTTAAAACGCTCTGTTTTTCTTAAGACTTGAAAATTATAGATTAGGTGAATCCTTCTTTTCGTCAAAAAAGGCCACAGGAATGGCGTGTGTAATCGTCCGGATAAAATATAATTTTTTGAGTGATAAAATATTTCATTTTTGAAGACAGGCCTGAATTCTTTCTCGCATTTAGTAAATTCAGAGCGACAAGCCGAGTAACACATGTCATGTTCCTCACAGCATCTCTGCGTGGATTCAGTCGTCATCAAGTCAGAAACATCGAGTATGAAATCAGGAAGACCCTCGGGACCACAACCATTGGGCTTCTCTATTTCACAGTCCTTGATCTTTTTCATCTTTTCACCTTCCGGGCAGACATCCTCACAGTTGTCAAAAGCTTTGCGTCATTTAATTCTCTTTTAATACAAATTTTAGATGTTTGTTTTTCACATTCAAAACAGCTGATTCATATCTGAAACTTTGTTGTTTTCTTGTTGTTCCTTCCATTGAAAATGGGGAAAAACTTTATATTCGGGTGTGTTTTGTTTTTTTAAATTATTTTCCACGCAAAATCGGGTAAATCAAAGAATCATTACACGGGGTTGAGTGATATATCATGTAAAGCCCTTTCAGTCGTGATACACAGCAACCGAATATCCTTGTTACGATTTGTATTTTTAGCAGGTTTTATAAAATCCCCCGGGTTGACCAAAAATGCTTGTCCTACAATTTCCATATATGAAAAAATGTGTATCCTACAATTTCCTGCTGTTTCATTTTGGAAAATAATTGTTTGAGTACAAAATTCGATTTGAGGTTGAAAAAAAAACGAAAAAATTTTTGGGCAATTTCAATTTTCAATGTTTGCAATTGTATGACAAGTATTTTCGGTGTGGGGAAATGTAAGATAAGCATTTTCGGTTTATGGAGGTCAACCCGGGCCACTACCAGAAATATAGTTACAAATGAGTTCAATATCAAACATTCAACGTGGTACTTATAATTATCGGGTTTTGCAAATTTATCCCTGCCTTTATCCCTGTTACCCCTGTCAACTAAAAGAGAATTCTCGACGTTTCTGTCCCGCTATGACGTCCATTGACTCAGTTGTGCCATTTTTAAAGTCAAAGTAACATACACCGTTTTCAATCAAAATAAGCGAAAATAAAGCCAATGGGCGAATTCCAAAATTACTCAAGAGAAATAAAATGTTCATTATCAAATGAAAGTTGGATAAATTTTGTAACAAGGGTCGAGACAAAGGATGAATGTCATGCAAATGGACCTAAAGAATCGGACCTAATGCTTCATTTACAAGCGTATGTGACAAATCTTGGACTTATAGTAAGCAAGCTCATAAAATTAAGATAAGCAGGTGAATTATTAGTAGGGCAAACCACAAAATTGACTTTAAAACGTCAGTTATAGCGCTATCGAGTTGAACTTAAAAAGATTGACCTTAAACCTTCAAAATATGACCAAAAAACATTCATGTAGAAATATCGAGTTCAACAAGAATTTAAAATGGCATCCCGAACTGACAGAAATGGTTTCCGGTCGATTTAAATCGATTTTAAATCGATTTTAAATCGATTTAAATCGATTAACCATGACCATTTTACGAACTCAAATGGATTTTAAATCGATTTAAATCGATTTTTTTGAAAATTTTAAATCGATTTAAGTGTCTAAAAAATCGATTTAAATCGATTTCGATGGATTTTCCGACTCACTAAAATCCATCGGAATCTCACTTAAATCCATTTTAAATCGATTTAAATCGATCTTTTTGAAAATTTTAAATCGATTTAAGTGTCTAAAAAATCGATTCAAATCGATTTCGATGGATTTCACGACACACTAAAATCGATTTTTTTTTGCTAACAAGGCAAAAAAATCATGCAACTTAGAAAACTAATTAAAATTCTTGATTTTTTAAATAAAAACACACGTACCAGATATTTCAAAATTATGCAATGAAATCATAGAAAATCATCATTGTAAATCAGATGTTGTGCATTAACATATGTAACAAATCAAAAAAATTGTCAAAATAAACCAGATTTTGAGCTCAAAATTATGCAATGAAATCATAGAAAATCATCATTGTAAATCAGATGTTGTGCATTAACATATGAAACAAATCAAGAAAATTGTCAAAATAAACCAGATTTTGAGCTCAAAATTATGCAATTAAATCATAGAAAATCATCATTGTAAATCAGGTTTTGTTCATTAACATATGTAACAAATCAAGAAAATTGTCAAAATAAACCAGATTTTGAGCTCAAAATTATGCAATTAAATCATAGAAAATCATCATTGTAAATCAGGTTTTGTTCATTAACATATGTAACAAATCAAGAAAATTGTCAAAAAAAACCAATTTTTCCCTAAAAAATTAATTACCTAAAAACCTAGGCAGATTTAACCCGAGATTCTCTCCGTGGCGTAGCGAGAGTCTCTGTATCCTCCGGGGGGGAGGGGGGAGGGATTTTACAAGAATTTTAGTCAATTTTACAAGCATTATTTTAGCATTGCAAGCATTTTAGTCAATTTTGGTATTTGTAACGACACGTGACATAAATTTTTATTCTTTTTTCTGTCATTCGAAAATTTGAAGAAAAAAAAGAAGTGGAAAAAAATCGATTTAAATCGATTTAAAATCGATTTGGATCGATTTCATTTTAGGTCAGATTTAAGATCCATTCAAATCGATTTAAAATCGACTGGAATCGATTTTTTTAGCGTTGAAATTAAATCGATTTAAATCGATTTAAAATCGATCCAAATCGATCTGAATTTTTTGTTTTGACTAACTTACTTTTTTACAACTTAAATCGATTTCAATCTAATCTGCAGACTTTTTTCATACTAAAATCGATCGAAATCCATTTTTGTCAGAGCGGGATAACATAACACATAAAGTAGTTTTCAATTATTGCTCTCAGCGAAATTTCGGTTGTCTTCTAGCATGGAATTAAGTCACGTTCGACATCATAAATGGTCAAATACATTGCTTAATGGCACCCGTATTTCTCAGAAATATCTGAGAAGCATCACATCCATGTGAACTTTCATTTCTCAGAAATGTAGGTATTAGGTTTAGACAATTCCTGAGAAAGACCAAAAATTGACCTTATAAATAGCAGAAATAGCATTTATTGCAGTGACCGAATAGCAGTAAATAGCAGTTATGGTTGCCCTAATTATTAGAGAATATGTAATATAACAGGAGTTTAAAAGATTGTAGATAAATGGAACATAATTAAGTTTCAGATTGTACATTGTTTTCCAACGGCACCTTGGGTGACATTTTGCACTACATTTGAGGTAGAGCCTAAAACATTCCAACATTCCACAACAAGATGCAAGTTACCTTACAACGACATTGGGCTTTTTATTCAAAAATTTAAAATCTATTTTGGTCGAACCTATTGAAAAACCCCAGCGCGCGCCATTGTGTTCCGGATTTCCCTAACAAAAATGTCACGTTATGTTTTGAGACCTTCAGAATTTGTCTGGGTTACCAAAAATGCCCTTTCAGGATTCCACCGCACGTGATTTGAATTTCCTAGAATGTCTCCAGGTTCCCAATATTAATTTCAAACGTGCATTAAAATATCACATCATGATCAAACATTTCGGCCTTACACGTGCAAAACTTAATTGCGTAATACTTCAATTGGAACGACGTAATTAATTATTTCTCGTAGTATTAAGTAAGTCCCATGTTGTCTTGTTAAAGCATTCAACTTGCAAAATGTTTAAGCCCAACTCGACCGCACATTGCGTAGTTTTACAGCGATCATGAAATGTGACTCCGGATTCCCCAAGTGGAACCTGATCTAAACTATATTTTATGATTGGATAAATTAAATGTTTTACCAATGTAAAGTATTTAATATTAACCAATCATGATCCATCTAACTAACAACCCACTTATTTGTAAGTGCTGAAGTTACTTGTAATTTCAGCACCAGAGAGATTTGAATTTAACTTAGAAATTAGTTGGACTCTCCCGAGCACTTCAGCAGCCGCAATAAACCAGTATACCCTAGATCTATTGAGCCTAGCAGAGACTAGTTAAACAACCTGAGACTAGATAGTATAAGAGTAAGATTAGGATCGGTATTAGACTAAGAAGTTGCACGAATCTATCCGGCCGAAAATAAGATAGCGTGACGAGCAGACGGTGTACCCTATCCGAAATTACTCTATGAGTTATACACCCCAGTCCTAACTCATCTGGTGCGACCATAAGTCTCGAACAAGACCTTACTAGATTAGAATTAACCAAAATTAGATTAGAAATTAGACAAAAACATTTACAAAATGTTATACGACAATAATTTAATTGAAATGTCTCTCCGACTCAATAGATCAGAGCCAATATTCCGAACCATAATAGAACTACCCGGAATTGGAAGAAGACATCGAACCAAAGACGACATACGACAAAGTAGAAACTTGCCGTATAGTTATATGATAGTTCGGCAAAAGCCAGAACAAACTTTTATATTTCGAATACTACTTGCAATGAATTTAGATTTCCATTTGCAAACATAAAACCTTGAAGTAAATCTTCAAAATCATTTCAGGCGCTAAACAAATTAATATTATACAATAACGATTGATAAAAAGATCTAAGATCGTTTTCCTAAAACTCTGCAGTATTATACAAAACATGTTTGAAGAATATTTATTGGAAAATAAAAATAAAAATTAGTAGCATGACAATAAATGGTTAGTAATCATAAATCATCCTGTTGTTCCAGCTTCATCGCCTAAAACATAACAGCAATCATAAACCCACTAATATCATCAAAACACTAAATCTTTCCTTTACACAAATTTAAAACTTTATAAAAATTTAAAGTCACTTAATTTAAAATCAGATCATCAAGGCTTATCCTTGGATCTTAAATAATTTTCTACTTAATTAAATTTTAAATTTGATCATCAAGGCTTATCCTTGGATCAAACAGAACAACTTTGTTCTCCCCCACCCACTTAATTAGTGTCTAACGACCTCAAACGTCGATTCACTACCCAACCCTTTCTAAAAACCCAAGACTAATAGAAATTTTTAAACAAAACTAATCATTCAAATTAGGATAAACAGTGAAGAACTTCGGTTATTCATCCTTCACTTGACCCCTCCTCTTACCAGACCCAGGATAAATCTTAGACTTAGTAAGTTTAAAATAGTATCTAACGAACTACTCGCGTTCTAATTATACCTGAACCTTGTGGATCGATTTACTATTCTCCAACCCTTGAACACAATCACTACCCCTAAGTAAGATTAAGTAAGTTAACACCTTAGCTTATACTAGTCACGAGAAAGTAAAAATCATTCTTCGGAATCGATATACTTTTCTCTCCAACCCTGAACAATTAGACCCAGGTTAAGCTAACCAAAAAATCGTAAGAACTAACAGTTTAAGTCAATAGAAATCATTTAACAACCTTTTGCATCCGTCATTCTAAACCTTATGTCATTTAAAAACCTAGGAAATAAACAAACAATTATTTTACACAATTGTGAAATAGATAACAAAAAATACGACCTTGTAATCACACCTCATACACAAACAGTTGGATACATTCGAACAAAACGACAAACACTAAAGAGAAAAATAATAACTAAACAAAGACAAATAACACGAAAAAGATTTTCAAAAAATCGAAACGCATTTTCAGAATCAGAAACCAACAGTTTAGACGAACTTTACAAATTAAAAGAATCAATAGATAAAAATTACCCACAACACGATCAATTATATTTTTCTGACTCAGAAACAACTTCAAATTCATCACAAAGAGGAAAAAAAAGAATAAAAAAGCAGTATAAACACAAACCAGTACATTTATACAATTGGAATCAACCAATTCGACACATTAATAATTATATATTAACAGTCATCGAACGAAAAAATGAGTTCAACGCACACCCCAGGTGACGAAACTCCAGATGATGATGAAATCTTTCCTTTTATAGTAGATGCAGATACTGATAGAGGACAACACATATTTTGTCAAAATTTACTCGTAAATTTATTTGAACCCGGAATCAGTCCATGTAAAACAGAGTTCCCCGATGTAAAAATCAAAAGACAAATCATAGATCACTATCTAAAAGATATATGCAACATAACACAACAGTATGGAATCTACTCTATAGAATTCACTTCCCCAAACCATAATAATAGAACATATACTATTCAAACAGACGACCTTGATTTAGAATTTTCAAAAGTTTTTTCAGAATATATAAAAAGCATCCAATACCATAACTCACAAAGAGCAAACTCCATTTTCACCAATGAAGTTTTCGCACTAATATATAGTTATATTTCGATATTAGAAAATGAACTCCCATTAACAAATGTCTCACCGACAGAAACATCTAAACATTTAAGAGTAC